ATTCATCTGTCATGGACACCTAGGCTCTTTCCATTAGCTGTTGTGGACCAAATAAGTTAGTTTTTAATTTAAGTACCATTGTTATCTTCATTTTACAGTTGAGGACACAGTTGAGGTGTAGGGAGGTGAAGTAAGTTGCTAGGTGTCATAGCGAGTCAGTGATGGAGCTGGGATTCGAACCTAGTGAGACTCTGTAGTCTAGTTCCATTATGCTTTTCTGTCTTCATATTAGCTATCTCGTTCCCGCTCTGGCTTCTGAAGCTTATTCAACCTCAACATAACATTTGATTTTTTTTTTTTAAGGTTTATTTGTTTATTTTAGAGAGCGAGAAAGAGAGAATGTGCCAGGGTAGGAGAGGCAGAGGGTGAGGGGAGAGAATCCCAAGCAGACACCCTGTTGAAGCCAGAGCCTGTGTGGGGCTCAAACTCACGAACCTAAGATCATGATCTGAGCTGAAATCAAGATTTGCGTGCTCAGCCAACTGAGCCACGGGGTGCCCCATAACATTTGATTTTTGCCAATTAACTTTGATTCTGTTAAATTCCATGAAGGTGTTTTAGAGTAGTGAGTCTGCCATTGGGTGGTGGTGTTTAAACATCAGGGAGCATACTTTGTCTTATTAGTTGACTTTCCCTTTTACATCTTGTCTAAGAGTACTGTGAAAATTTAACTGTGTTAGAGTGTCAGCTCCATCAAGACCTGGTGTTCTAAGTATCTTCTTAGTCCCTGAAACAGTGCTGGGTCCACATAAGTACTTCAGTAAACACGTGCTGAGTGAAGAAATGCAGAAGGTGTATGAAGCTTCAATTACATAGGTCCAATAACTGGTTGCTCTTTCCAACAACACGGGTTATTTTGCTTTGTTTTGTTTTGTTTTGTTTTTAAATAGATAACCATTTATAAATTCAAACAATTACTTATAAAGTCATTTAGTAATAAGGGAGCTATTGAGTGAACACAAGATTGTGAAGTTGGGGTCTGAACTATGCTTGTAGTCCTAGCATCCCCAGCTCTTTGTTTCAGTATTTTTATTTACAATAGCTCAATAATATTGATTCACATAGAGACGCACTGGCGAACATGAACTATCTTAAACAGTTTATCTTGATATCTCAGGGTATTCACTCATTAAACCCCAAAGCTTGAAAGAGAATTAGGAAATTTTTGTCTCAAAGTGAAACGGACTAGATTTAATATCTAATTACATATCTATTCTTGATGGTAAAAGTTGAACAGAGCCTGCCCGACTGCCGGCACATGCTGCACTTGCTGCTCCCAGCGGGGTTCTCCATCCCGCAATAAGGGGCATCGCCTGGGAGAGACTGGAGCAGAATCTCTGGTCCCATTTGACACATGCAAGACCAGAATTTAAACGTTAATGACTGCCTTGTGATTTAAAGGCGCATTAGACTTTGGGAAGCACTGTTAACTTCAGTAGGTGCAGGAAGATGGACCTGGACTTCTGCACGGCAAGTGGGGTCCCAGATAATGCTCTTGCCACTGCTCTGTGAACCACATATCCAACAGCAAGGTGCTCCTGTTTCATGACAATGAGTAACTTGCATTGACTCAGGCTGTGATAAGAACTTACCCAGCAGGCCGACCCGAGTCAACTTGACAGTTGCTGAGCACAAAGCAGGTATGCTGTCATGGTGTACTTACTCCCATGCATGATTTTTTAAAGTATACATACCTGGATTTTAAAATATTTAAAATGTATTTGAAGCTTGGTACATCTTTCCAAATCTTTGACACATTTTCAAGAAGTTCAAATATATGCATAGAGATGGCAGCAAAAGCATAGACCTCGGGTCTGCATAAAAATGAATTTTTCTGGCAGCACAGGCCAGTGTGTTTGAGTGTTTGCATTTCCATTTTTTGAAGCAGTTAAAAATATATTTCAGAAGAAAAAAAAATATTCAGAAGTCTGGAATCTTCGTTGTTTGAAAACCATTCGTAAAGCAAGAGGACTGGGCATTTGTCACTAACATTGTTGACTTTGGGTCCAACACTTAAACTTTCTGGGTCTCTCTTTTTTTTCCTTTTAAAGATTTTATTTATTTATTAGAGAAAGAGTGTGCTGCAGAGAGCACACACAAGCCGGGGGCGGGGGTTAGAGGGAGAGGGAGAAGTTGACTTTCTGCTGATCAGGGAGCCCTGTATGGGACTTGATCCCATGACCTGAGCTGAAGGCAGACACTTAAACAACTGAGTCACCCAGGCGCCCTCTTTTTCTTCAGTAAAATTAAAAGTTCTGACTAAACAGTCTCTCCTTTCCGAAGAGATTTTTCTTTAAATTTTTATTTAGGTTCCGGTGAGTTAACAGACAGTGTAATATTAGTTTCACGTGTGCAAGACAGTGATCAACACTGCCATCCAGCACCTGGTGCTCATCACAACAAAGGCCCTCCCTAACCTCCCCATCACCTGTTTCAGCCATCCTCTCTCCCCCTCCCCTCTGGCAACCATCAGTTTGTTCTCTAGAGTTAAGTTTCTTGGTTTGCCTCTCTCTCTCTCTTTTTTTCCTTTCCTTGTTTGTTTTGTTACTCAAATTCCATATATGAGTGAAATCATAGGGTACTTGTCTTTCTCTGGCTGATTTCGCTTAGCATAATACCATCTAGCTCTGATGGGTTCTTAACCTTTGTCCTTCTGTGATGGCTAATGGTGTAAATTCCAGTTCAAATCCAAAGACCTGAGAACCCTAAGGGCCAGTGTTTAAGTCCCTGTGCAAGGGCAGAAGACCAATGTATTAGTTCCACAGTGAGGCAGAGAGAGAAGATTGAGCCTTCCTCTCTGACTTTTGTTCTGTTCAGGCCACTTCGGAGAGGCCAGTTTGCTTTGCTCAGGTGAAAATTAAAGTGCAGGAACACCTTCACATACACATCCAGAAATAACGTTTAACCAGATATGTGGGTGTGCTGGGGTCCAGTCCCATTGATACATAAAACACTGTGCATACTGATAGAACTTTATATTTTCATTAAATCTAATTTTTTGATGATAGAGATTGGTATAGCACAGCATTTTAGAGCCAAGGATTGGAACCAATAAATAAGGATGTATCCTTGAGCAGTAACAACAGAGACACGAGGATCTGTGAAATGGAGGTGATATTGGTGCTTTTCTCCCATAGTTCGTTTTTTTTTCTTTGTTTTCAATTTTTTTTAAATTTTTTAAATTTATTTTCAGCGTAACAGTATTCATTGTTTTTGCACCACACCCAGTGCTCCATGGAATCCATGCCCTCTCCAATACCCACCACCTGGTTCTCCCAACCTCCCACCCCCCGCCCCTTCAAAACCCTCAGATTGT